ATCTGCAAGGGAAATGGTGCCACCTTACGATGTTGGTGACCGACGGATATCTGTGGCTATAAGCGACTTCCACATGTAAATACCTAAGTACAAGCTCTGGTACGATTGCCGATTGTTTGGTACAGTCAGTCCTGCACAGTGAGCAGTTGAAGACCTTGGGATGATATCCCCAGAGTCGTTTCCACCTTGCGGGCCAACCTCATTGCATGAGCGGGTATGCCTTGGTAGTACGATCCACAAGTTGGGTTCCGCGTACTAGCATAGCTGGTCTCTTGGCCCACCAGTCGCGATAAGGTAACACCTCCTTGTCGTGTTCGTCAATGGCATAGACGATCTCATGCTTGCCGTGAGACTATCAGCAAGTTCGGTTCCTTGGCATATGTACATGGATGATCCAGCGGGAAGTATTCGGAGAAGCAGTGCGCGGTAGTTGTGAATGACTTTGCCGCTGGAAATATCTGATTATGGTGACGACGCATCAGCGATCAGAAGGATGTCTCGGTGGTTCCGCCGGCCAGATTGGTCCCAGAGCAATCGCCACGACAACGTATGAGGCATGAATGGCCGGAAATTCTGTCTTGACAGTACCAAGCATGTCTGCTGTGAACTCGTAAGCAAGATGGGGTAGTGTTCTTCGTCAATGTAATCGAAACACGTTCAACGCAATAGCGATACTCAACACCCAATCACTAGGCATAAGCAGATCTGACTCTTAGTTTCGTAGGGTTGAGCCGTTTGAAAGAAGGCACGAGCGAGAGTGCCATGTTGGTGAGCGACGACCACGATCCCGGAATTGAAACCTCGAGTTACTCTAGACCACCCGGGCGGTGCATACATTTGAGCCGCCCATAGGCTAAGGATGCGTTTACAACGTTCTCAAGAGGCTGCATAGGAAGCGCTGCACGTCAAGAGCGCAGTGTGAGTGATGCAATCTTTCGGTCTCGTGAAATCCCTTCTCTCCCAAATCCGATAATGGCGCTAGTCCGGATAGGTACATCGCCACCACGACGAAGAAGGCCCGAAAGACAACTGTATCAACAACAGCGTTTAGGTCGTAACTTGCGGTGCTCAGCGATGAATGTATTCCACAGCAGGAGAGCGCGTTTGAAAGATGTGAGATGTTGTCAGTTTAAGCTCGTGGATCCCCCTTTGCCTATCATCCCACATGACGAGCCGCCAGTGTGCCGGCTTCCGTCTTCGCCCTGTACACACCGCATCAGGTTGACCAAAGAAGTAACATGTCAGGTACACATCTACCACCGTCCAGGATGAGTGCTAAGCTTTCCTGCCGAGCTTTGAAATGCTTCTAGGATTTGACGGTAGCTTGACACACATAATTCCGTTGAGTTCTAATGATAGATTGGGAAGTCTCAGTCCGTTTCTAGATCCTCCCCACCATGTCTTTCTCAATCGTCGCATGCTGCTTATCATCTCCAATTACCTCCCTTGATGTCAATAAAAGTGGTCAATCTACGAAGTGGCAAGAATATAAGTCAGGCTCGGTAGGCCATGACGTCCCGTTCGCAATGCAGGTCATGGGCAGCAACGAAAAACTCGCCCTGAAACATTAAAATTAATCGCATACATTAGATATGGTACATGACCCTTCGCCGTTTTTTTCGCTACCATAACGCCATACCAACCCTATCCCACTTATTACTGATACCCGACACCCACTTCGCCTGGGAAGCTTGCCCAAAAGTCTTGTGTCGCATTTATCATCATGGCCTCCAGTTCCTCGTTTGTCAGGTCGAACGAGTCAAGGTTGAAAGTTTCGTCAGCTTCCAACGGGGGCACCGCTGGAGGGGTGTTCCATGAGAAGTTGGAAGTGTAGCTATTAGGAGTGGGCGCTGTGGCTGGCAACGGGCTTGTGACGGGCGGATTGGTGAGGTTGACGATCATGGGTTTGCGCTTGCAGTATGTTAGCAGAGTCTCATGAATGCGGCATCGGAGACTTACGTCGTTGTGTTGTTGTGAAGGGGACCTGCTGGACATGATGACATCTCTTGGTGAGCCTGCTGGTTTTTGTACAGGTGAAGGCTGTAACGCGCCATAATCTATCATGGCATGTCGCAATGCCTGTCGTTCTTCAGGTGATGCCGGCCCGTCCTGACCAAGTACAGAGCGATAGTACGCTTGCATGCGTCGGATGGTATCGTACTGGGATTATCAGCATGTTTCATCTCGATCTTTCGTAGTCACTCACCCAAGTTTCTGCCATAGGCCACTGTGTCTTCATCTCTCTCAGAAAGTTGCAGCCCTGTATCACGCTCTTACGCGCCTTTTCCCGCCAGCGAGGATCGTCGTCGCCGCTCGGGAAGTTGAAACTGTACAGCATTGCGCCGACTGCCGTGTAAATGGTGAAGCCGATCCATGGCACCAAGCCCCTCAGGAAATACACACCGAACGTGCGCATCTCCTCTAGCATGTCCAGGACCATGACTGAGTCTTTGAACAGCTCCTTGCGTGAAGTCTTCTCCCACTTCCTCCACATGTCCCGGTGCTCATCGTAGGAGTTTGGTGTCTCCTCAGGATTCGCTCCATTTTGCTGAGGGCCAAGGACTGGTAAATAAGCGCGATGCAGGAACATGTAACTCATGAAGTGTATGCAGTGCATGTAGCAGTACGCTTGACCCTGTTCGACAGCATTATGACTATGCAAAGTGAAGAGGTCGTACTGCAAGCGCTGAGGAAGCGAGGCCTTCCAGCCCTCAAGCTCGTAGATGAGCTGCTGGAATTGTGAAGAGGATGCCCATGGCAGTTCGCTCTTGAGTTCATCAGAGCAAGCCCAACGCGCGACTTTACCCCAGATGTTAGCAGCACGCATGCTATAGCCGATGATGCCAAGCTCTCCCAAGGGCAATGCCACTGGCGGCATACGCTGTGTATTATCCAGCTGAGGCGTGCATACTGGCTCTCCAAAGACAAAGCCCTCGCGCTCGCAGGGTAGTTGAATCTTCATGTCTGCCGCAGTCAATGACCTCTTGCGTCCCTTACCGCCACTGAGCAGGGAGTCCATCAAAAAGCACGTCCAGGCAGTCCGTCGGCGCACTTCAGCCTCGATAAACTCCTCACGTGTTGGCACGCGATTTCGCGGTATACCAGTCTCACGCGTCAGGTCCATAACCTCGACCAGGCGTATCGCCATGCCTAGATATATCCACGCCCTTCTTCCATTTCCGGCTCCCCAGTCGTGGCCTGTCAACATCAACAAGGCCTGCACGCGACTGATGGAGGGTGTCTCAAGGTCCTGTTGCAAGATCTGGCGAGCGTGGGCAGCATACGCATTGCTGGCCTCAGTCTGCGAACTGAAGGGCGACGGCGGGCTCTGGACGAATCTAAGCCATGTCAGCTTGGCGATTGCGTGTTTGATGATGAAGGCCATAGCATACCTGATGGCCAGCGCAAGTATCGCCCAGGCCATCCATGGCTCCAAGGTGCGATCGCGTATCCTGCGCAGCAAGGTCGGCGTGTGGTGGAAACTCCATTTGTAACTGCATCGTAGGTAGCTATTCTTGACCTCGTCTGTTAGGAGCTCGAATGGATCTAGGCCGTCGAGTAGTGACGATGCCGTATTCGGCGACGCCTGCTGTGCGGCATTGTTGCCGTTCGGCAGATGTGCGTCATTGCGGCCCTGATGGGGCGCTACAACCGTCGTACTCGAGTTATTCGATGTCGGCGTCTCTCCTGCATCTTCGGATGGCCGTGGTCGCTTAGGCTTGCGGTGTATCGCACTCGTTCCCGGTGCTATCACAGCCGTCAACAAGCCGCTGTAGGGGATGGCAGAAGCTCCACGCACCTGGAAATTCGCAGCGGTCCGCGCGTCCGCTCTGCTTGCACCTGTCGCACGGCGGCCTATCTTCGTGAATGCACTTTTGCTTAGCTGACCGACAAGAAACACACGCGACAGGATTGCGCATTGTCGCGATGCATGTGTACAAACATCGACTGAAGAATGAGCGACCCTGCCTCAGTCGCCCTTGCCGTCGCGGTCAGCTCTCCGCATCCCGTGCCTGCCATTTCGCGCTAGACCAGCATCGCCAAGCTATCCGAATACCATGACCATGTCTCTTTCCAAACTCTGTCACTCTTCATCGTAAGCTCATCCGGGCCGTCTCTTTGCTCACCATTCTTACCGTCTGCTTGTTCTCTCCTTTTCTTCCATTTCATTTCACTGTGTTCTGCTGTCTTGAGAGCATGGGTATGCTTTGTTGCCCCAACGCCTATCGTGACGAAACCACAGAAAAAGAATCGAGAGTCGGGAATAAGGGAATAACCCGCATCAGGCCGTTGCAGCCGCTTCATGAAAATAGCCGTGCTATGCAACACCTATGGGATAGACATGCGGGCCGCACTACTCAGGTGTAGCCAGGAAATCTATTTCTCTGCGGCCCGATATCTTTCAGGTTGCTATATCTTGTTTATTTTCCACCATCTTGATCAACTCAAAGTCTGCTCATCTGCTTTTCCTATGACCTGAATTCAAAAATTACCTTACGTATCTTCCTGTGCCATACTGTTTAAGCTTCACCAGGATGGGCTGTACGTACAGCACAGCCGTCACTAATCTTGCTGCTTCGGTGTATGATGACTTGGGCTAGAGCATCTGCCTTATGGGCACTGTAGGACAATATGAATCGCTGGTACCTCCCGTTGATCTGTTGTTCTCGGTTGCCACTTGTCATTGTCTTTCAACCTGCGTCTTTGTCTCGACATCATCCACATTCACTTTGCACAGACCCAACACCACGCGCAGATACTGATCAGCCTTTCCCTCTATACGCGAAAACTCTTCAGAACACTCACTCGACTCCTAAATGTGGCCTAGCGACTTATCAGATAGCTCATACTCAGACACCCCGCCACTACATACCTGATACTTTCTATCGATCATCTCCACCCCCCAGACTAGGTCTTCATGTATCTTTGCACGCAAGATATTCATCAATCGCGGAACGACACAATCGGATACATCCAGCTACTCCCTCCCGACTATCGTAATGGCTCACTTCCACACTGCCAATCGCGCCAGCTACCAGACCTACGCTCATCCCCTAGCTGGTGGAAAGAGGAAGCGAATATCCACGAGTAACGATATAGAACCCGTAAGTTACCACCAAGTACATCTTCTTCTACTTTCTCTTGTACTGATGCCGATGCTTAGGTTGAGAGCGATGTGACTTTCTCACCAGCGCGCTCAATGAAGAGCCGCGACAATAAGGACAAATACAACCCCAAGGTAGATCTGTCAATATGATTTCCCCTTTTAACTCTAATATCTACCAGTACATGGCAGAGATGTGCTTCAGCGCGTACAAGGTGCGCTTACATGAGGCTGGCCTTCAACAATATACAATCGACGTTGCGAACGACTGGCGAGAGCATTTGGTCGAGATGTTCAGTCACGCCGCGTTGAGAGGAGCCATCAAGCAAGATGCAGTAGCCCGTCACATGGTTCCTCGTCTTGTACTGCTTCTCCCACGAAACAACGAAGAGAAAAAAGAGCTTGTCAAGGATTTCGCGAAACACTACGAGGACGTACGACACGACATGATGGTCATCAGCAAGACCATGCTCAGTGGAGACGAGGACTCCATTGCTGAGGTCCGCGAGTGTCTTTATGGTTTACACAAGACTCTCGCTGAAGGAGCAAGATGGCGCAAGATCTTGCCGTACCTACCACTACCGCTGCCACTGCACCGCCTCCGGGCTCTCCGCAATCTGATAGAGTACTCACGACCTTACCAGTTCCTCCACCATCTCGTCACCGAAATTGACGACATCGAGAGTTGGCTTACCTTTCTTCCCATAGGCCTTAACACCTTGATTTTTCCGGCTGGACTTGTCAACGCAGTGAAAGGAACTCAGCAGCAAGTAACCGAGGATAAAATTGTAAAGACCAGCATCGGTCCTAACGCACAGGAAATGGCAGAGTACCGAGAGCAAAAAGCCAAACGACAGCGTCTAGAGAAGAAGGAACAAGCTCGTCAGCAGGAACAAACCTACGCTGATAAGCTACAAAAGATCGAAGCCGAGCAGATACAGATGAAGAAAGACATCAAATCGCTCGAGCTGGCCGTCACGGAGAAACGTGCTCAGGAAATTGCGAAGAAACATTCAGAGGCCGCAGCTCTAGCGAAGCGCGAGAAATCGTATCAGGACCAAATCTCACTCAACACGATTGAGATAAAAAGACTAAACGCCGAACTAGACAATCTAGCTGGCGGTCAGGCACAGAAGATGCAGCCGAAAGTGACCTCGACACCATTATCGCCAATCGATTCTGTGCAGCTCAGCACGTCAACGGGCTCGTCGTTCAGTAGTAATCAGACCGCCAACAGTAGTATTCACCAGCCCCAGAGCTCATTGGGCACATCCTTTGGCAGCTCTTTCGCCCAGCCGGGATCTTTTGAACAAACTTTACATCAGCGTGCACCGGAAGACGACGGCGTACCAATGGAAGACGTCCAAGGAATTGGCCCATCACAGCAACACCCGACAAAATCCGATCAGGTCGGCTTTCCTGAAGCACGCATCGCAGGGCAACCGAATACCTTCGGTGCTCATATCAGCAGTGGTGCCCCCTCACAGTTGCTTGGGTTGTCAAATAGCAATTTCAAGTCGGCTTGCCCAGCGTACAAGAACGGACATTGCCCAGCGGGCAAAAGCTGCATGATGCCTCACAGTGCATGCAAGTTCTGGGTGAAAGGCAATTGTAGATATGGTGGGAATTGCATCCGCAGCCACGATCCTTTCTTTCTGAAAGATGCTACATCACGGGGTCAGCAGCGACAGTCTTCACAAGTTGACCAAATGATCGTCGATTCTGATCCTACTCCACGATCCAGCGCTTTCTCCCAGGAAAATCCGTTTCAACGTGGACGGCAGGGTCGGGCCCAGGCCTCTCAAGCTAGCAACATCATGAGCCTACCCGATCACCAAGCCTTACCAACCGGTCCTCACGAACGCCCTTCGATCATGGGTAGGATTACAAAAGACGGCCAACCCATCATATCGTATGGGTCCAACATTGCTTCCATCAAGGATGGCAACACCAATCGTCAGCAAGGTATCCTATCTGATGCAATTCAGGGACCTCGCGCTACGATTGGATCGAAGAAAGTTGCGTGTAAAAATAATCTCAAGGGCAGATGCAACAAGGGTCTCAGCTGCCAGTACGCTCATGAGCCATGTCCGCGCTTCATAAAGGGCACTTGTTTTGCTGATGATCAGTGTAGGAGGAGTCATGATCCTCTTTTTCTTCGTCAAGGTTCTTCCAGCAACAGTGCACAGCAGTCTTCAAAGTCACCCACTGGGCAGCAGCCTTCCCAAACCCGGATAGAACAGTCACTCGACGAGGTTCTTCAGGCAAAAGGAGGAGATAGGAAGGAGAAATATGGAAAGCCGTTTCAAGTAGAATCACCCATTCGAAACCAACGTCCTCAAGATCATCTTGAGCAATCTCTCGACGACATAATCAAGACGGCCGGACGAGGTAGAGAGAACCAGGCAAGACTGCCTCAATCGGAAACTCCATGTAAATGGGAGAAGACCCAAGGCGGTTGTACGAATGGCAGCTGTCCATACAAACACGATTCACGAAAGACGTCCGACCCGAAAGCTTCACGAGGCACGTTTGGTATACCCAACCTTTTCAGCTCGATTGGAAGTATACTTCGTGGTAACAGACAATAAGAACTGCGTGGGAGCCAGCAAGCTTCCATTGAGGGCCTGCTCGTCGGGAGGTCGGGGAGGTACACGATCCTGCAGCATACTGCAGACTTTTCCAATAGCACCAGGATGCTATGTCTGGAATACTACGTCATATTGCTAGTATTCGGTAGTCGTCTCTTTACTGTTGTTTGTCTCCATCAAGCGCGTTTTGCATTTCGAGCTGCGGAACAGTGCTCACATGATTGGAGATGCCATTTTAATTGCGAAAGTCAACTAATTGGAAATTTGTCTGAGCTTGTTCCTCTTAACGTTTGTGGCGTTGATAGTGCTTTCCACGTCGCGCCTGACGTGACGCGTCTCAAGCCCCACTTGCCCTTCGTCATCACTCCAGCCCCCTCGCCGCCGACTTTCCTCAATTGTGCAGCATCTTATCGCACCGACAGCGTTACATTCATATGAAGAACATCGTTTTTCCTGCGTCGCATGGGCTCTCAGATTTCCCATGGCTTCGTACGCACGATGAGACCTTTCTCAATAAAGCAGTATCGACCAGCAGCAGCGAACAAGCACTATGGGCAACAACGCGGACCTCTCACTTGCGAAGACTACCCAAGCAAATATACTCCGAGCCGCCAGGCGGACCTAGTCTCTCGCTGGTGTACAAATCGAGTTCCTATCTTTGTCCAAACTCTACAGTGGTCTCATACTTTTACAATTCCACAAGCATCCTTTCTACTTCACATCCAGCAATGCAGTTCTACCAGCCGAGCAACCTGAAACACGTCTCAAGTCTCTAACGGAAGAACGTTCGCCTCCGGTACGACCTGTGTTACAACAAGAGCGATGTCACACTGTTCTGAAGCTGAGAGACAAAGCGCCACCAACCACCAGAAACCGTCTTTAGAGCTGGATTGGGACAAAGCCGAGAATGACCGCGCGACCTTTGTAGCTACTGACTCTTTGTTGCATAGCAGTTCGCTACCAGTCACCATTAAGTTGTGTTTCTGGTCTTGACGTTGCGTTGTGAACCGCATCCACATCCCAGCATCTCTCCTCGACCAAGGTCCAGAATTCACAATACTGAAGATGGAGTTAGCGAACCTTGCAAACTCGACCGGTTTCGAACGCCATTTGGATATCAACACCCATATTCAGGCTATTCAAAAGAATTGGTTCATTCAAAACGGCTCTCATGACGAGGACATTCTCCCCCCTTCGCTCCTCGCTGGGGTACCAGTCAACTGTCTCCCAGCAGGAATTTTCGAAGCTGTCCATGAGCTTTCCACACTAACGATCGGCCAACGAGATCGTGCGCATAGCCTTTTGAATACCTACTTCCAGGCGCGCATCCGCGAAGGATCACATAGCGGCAAGAGTAAAAGCATCTTTGCTATACTGGAGGTTGGCGATGTAGAAAAAGCTTGTGAGAGTTTGAGGAGAATGAGTCGAGGCCGCGAGATGCAAGGCCCTGTTCCAGTCAAAGAAGAGGAGGCAAGGAAGAGGAAATACTCGATTAGACACGAGATGGATACTAGCAATAGGGGCGATGACAAACACTCTGAAAAATTAGCAAAACGTTTCAAGGAAGAACTTAATATCGTTCCAGAAAACGACAATGAGCCCGTCACACCACTCTCCATCAGCTTCCCTGGTTTACTCACGCCCCCAGATTCGCGAAAAACTGTAACCCCCTCAACAATCCCAAACACTCCCCGAACCCAACGCCGCGCCCGTCTTCCCCCAATTCGCACAACACAAATAAATACTCCCACGCCCACTTCCTCTCAAAATGTTTCCTTTACCCCACTCTTCAACAGTTTGAAACATGAGTTCGGCGATCCAGATACACCATGTCCGAACCGGCCGAGTACATACCAACAGCTTGACAATAGCAGCATATGGGATAACTTCATGGAAGGCAGGTACGAAGCACCTAGAATAATAGATCCTCGGATACAGGCAGCGCAGAGGGCGACACATGAGTTCAATGTACGAAGGATAGAAGTGATTGAGGCACAGAGGGCATTTGAGGAGGCGAGGAGATGGTTTGGTGAGGCGAAGAGGAGGATGGATGGGGCGAGGGGGAGGTGTGGGTGGCGGTGAGGGCGGTGGTGGTGTTGGCTCAGCTCTTAAGATTCAGTAGATAGTTTGATGCTAACTATGGTATCCTTATTCTGATAGACTAGAAAGTAGCAGGAAATGAACAAGCTCACGTTCACTGGCTGAAGCATGCAACACTGGGATTATCGCATAGGTCTTTCGTTTTTAACATGGTCATCCATACCCAGCATAGCGCTTCCTGGAACCGCGTCACCTCAACGCCTCGACTACCAAGCCTGACATATCAAGTTCCAATGCTCATAGGAAGACGAAAATGTGGTAAAAGGTACAATCAATAATGGTATCGGATGCTACGCTATGCAAGATGAATATATGAATGCTATATCCTAGAAACGAGGAAATGAACCATGAAGGTCGGCGAAGGATCATATGTGCCAAACCAACATCATGCACCTGTTACCGGCCCTCCAATCTCAACCGATCCCTACTTCTCCCCTCATCCCGTCTCGCAACAAGGAACCACAGACTGCTGATCCAGCATAGGATAACGCCAATCCAAGTCTGTGATGGGCTCTTGAACAAAGTGATAGCAACGAGCTGGAAAGCGCTTCGTGGAACGGCCACAAACGTCGCTGTCAATGGAGACGTTGCCTTGACAAGCAATAATGTGCCTGAGAAGACAGCCCACGAGCCCATGCCGCCAAACAGCATCATGGCCCAGAAGAAGGGTACGTCGAGGAAGGGAATGTTGTGGTAGATATGAGGAACCTCACCGGAGAGGATCACAATGGGTGTGAGGAGCATGAGGGATACCAGTGATGTGTAGTGTAAGGTGCGGTAAAAAGCGCGAGTCTCCTCCCTGTTGCCTGGCTCTTCTAAGCCACTAGGGTATCCGGTGAGCACATCGCCTACAGGTACCAAACCAGCAACAATCTTGCGGTATGTGCGTAGAAGGAGGATAGGATAGAGGGCGACGAAGATAGATGAGAAGACGCCAGCTACGACGGACTCCCAGGTGACGCGAACGTTTGAGCGGTAGGATGCGAAGAAGAGGTTGAGGGTTGCAACGAGGGCGGAGGAAAGGATGCTGCCGTTTACGTTTTCTTTTTGGAGGATGCAGGAGAAGATTATGGCGAGGGGGGTTATGCCAATGCGGGCGAGTTGGTAGGTTGGTAGAGGTGCGTAGCTATGCCATGTCAGAATTGAGTAATGTGGTGGAGTTGCAGGTGTCATACGCAAACGAGAAGTTGCTGAGCAGCACCTTCACAACAAAGACCACTGCAAGTGGGAGCACCTGTTTCGCGATTTGCCAATCAAACTCAAACAGGCCTCCCCCAGCAATGCCTCCCGATCCATTCGACAGCCATCTTGCAAAGGCATATATGCCAGGCTTCTTGTTGCCTCTGAATGCTCCTCCCTGGGGCGCGGCCGGCTGTGAAGGCGGCACAGCGGCACCAAAGCCTATAAAGTGCAGAGGGTTGCTAGAGAAGCGTAGAAGACTCGAAACAAGTATTAGAAGGATGTGCGTGATGATGAGCTGGGCGTAGGATTGGGTGAGGGGGAACGGGAATCTAGTCCTGTTAGCAACCATCCAACCTGCAGTTCAACGGTTTCCTCACTTGTAGACACCCGTCAACATGATGAAGCGATTCATCAGCAGTAGCCCAAAACTACATCCGCCAACCCAAAAGACCAGCAATCCGACCCAGACCTGCCAGCCCCTCCATGTGCTGAAAAAGAAAGCCCCAGGCCCGCCTTGTTGCCAAAAGCCGCGAAAGGCATGGCTTCCTCTGCCCACGTCATGGCTAACCAGCGGCCGTATGCTGCTCGCGGGCTCGTATTCATCGTCTTCGTCTTCGCTTTGCGCGGCGCTTCGAATGCGTGGGTATGGGCTGTTGCTGCGACTCCCAATATCGATCAATGGAACCGCAGGCTGCAACTCCGACTGCGAGTTCTGCGTCGAGTGACTCCGCCGTGACGTCTCCATCTGCGCGTAGAACTCGACGTCAGAGTGATCCGTGTCGTCGATTGAGCTGGCGCTGGTGTTCCGCCTGTGGACGTTGCTGTCCTTTCTCTTTCTGTCCTTTGGGAGCTGTACCGGGTTCCGCGAGAGATTGCTGAGGAAGTCGAGGGGTTTGCGGAAGGTGTTTTGCGTCGTCCGGGTGAATGCGCGTGACGAGTTCATTGTGTCCGCTTCATGGCGGAGAGAGAAGGGAGCGACTGCATGCTGAGGTTTGTTTGGCTATTCGTAAAAGTTGAGCACAGGCAGGTACGAAGGCCCGGTCACGCTGGACCCTGGCTTAGGCTAAGGGGAAGTGGGTCCGGTCATCTCTGGGGACGCGCAACCTCAACACCATGGACAATGAGCATCGTGTTGTCGCAACAACATGTTCTATACTATCTTTACTGGGTATTGACATGCTGGTGTTGCAGGCTAGCAGGGCTATGTCAGCCCCCTGTTCGAGGCTTCAGCGTCTAACCCCGCATATCCCAACGTGCTTTCTTATTGCTCTCTGTTATATACCTCTGAACAAGAGCACATCGGCCTTGAGTCTGGCCGTTGCCTGACTAGCGATCCAACATGACCTACTTTGTCCGCGTACATGAACCCTTACGAATGGACACTACTACATTCCATACCTCAAAACTGTTCGTTTCGTCAGACCAAGTGCTTTGTGGTCCGTGTCAAAGACTACTCTCCGGAAGAAATACTTTACTTCGCACAGAGGAGACAAACGGAAAGTCGTATTTTACCCATCATGCAACGCCTGAGTCGTTTCAGGAAGCCCTTGCATTGTCTTGCGGAATATGTAGACGTCTAAAAGTTGAGATTGATCGCGACCTGCGTATGACCAACCCGTCTGGGATCCTTTATGTACCACTGACTGACACCCGGACAGGTCATCGCTCACGCGGTCCATTCCAGGTCGCTCCAACGGAATATGTAACTCAATTCGAAG